TGTAAGGGGTCCTGCTAAGGGGGTCGGCGAGGGGAGTCTCTCTCAGCACCTCCCCGGCACCCAGCCCCGAGGGATGGAGGTGCCAAGGACCTCCTGTCGGAGTCCCTTTGGGGTTAAGCCCCCTCCTCAAACCGGGGCTCTGGGGCCGCCCCAGGGCTGCAGCCAGGACCCACGGCCACTGCCCAAAAAAAAATCATGGGGCTGGCTGAAAGCAAAAACTCCTCAGCCGTACTAAAGTTCCCGCTTTGGTCCCAGTTTAAACCAGAAGAGGACCAGATCCAGACTGAAGCAGTTCCCCGGCTAGTTCCTGCCCTCCGAGCATCTCCTCGGGAAGGTCGGCAGAAGCACCTACCTCGACGTCACACATCAAATACCCACTTTTCATCCCCCGCATCCAACCTCCCCCCTTTTTCCCAGGACTGTTTCTACCCTCCAGGACACTCGCTTGGCCTCTTCCTTTAAATAACCCCCCCCCTCTTAATATTTAACATCATGCCCGGAGTCGGTGTTAGCCCTTCTGCTCCCCTCCAGAAGTCCCAAACAGCAAAGGAGGGGTGCAGCCAGCCAGTGATGTATAAAACTCCCTATTTTTCTCTCCCCTCTCCAGTTTGGGGTGAAACGGGGCTGTTTCAGGTCCCTGGGCACACCAGACTCCCGTCCCCACGCACAGCCCCGGAGGTGGCTGGTTTCCATGGAAGTGATGCCGAGGTTGAAGGTGCTGCGGAATAAATCCTGCGGAGAACACAGGCATCAGGAGTGCAATGTCCCAGCAATTCACTCGCTTTGCCTTGAAAGAGGGGAAAACCAAAAAAACCACCACCAAAAAAAAAAGAAAAGAGTATTTTAGCTCTCACTCACCTAAACACCAGGGGAAATTTAAGCAAGAGCATGCGACACCGGCGTGCGGCCATCCCAGGTTAGAGGGCATGGATACGACCTGCAAATAAAGTTGTGGGTTTTTTTTTTTTTTCCTTATGTAAAAATAATTGCAGATGCTACACCTGCATCCGAAGTATTCTGGTTTTCAAATCGCATTTGCCTGTTCCTCTCGCGTCTCTCTTGGGTCGCTGCTTGAAGACCAAAAGGGGGAACAAACTGCGTCTGACCAACAGTGAAACTCAGCAGGCAAACACCTGGGGCACAGCAGCAAACCCCTCTCTCTGGCTTTTTTTGGTACTCACAACTAAGATTCTCTCAAAAGACAAATTGTTTAATTTGGGCCGTTAATCAAGGCAAGCTTTCTGCCCTTATTTCCTCCAGCTTTGCAAACAACGCAGGTTTTATGCTCCCTCTGAAAACGCATGAGGACACCAGCAAGGAATTGGGGTTTTTGGCCAGCTCAGAAGCAAAGAGAGAGGCCAAAGCTATCAAAGAATTAAGAGGACAGAAATTCTTCCGGGGAAAACAAGTAAAACATCCCAACAAAATGTAAATGGCCAACACAACTGCTTTTGACACCTGCAGAAACACCAACCCACTCGCCCACCCAGGAAGCAGCCTGGGTCCTTACCCGACACGGACCGGGCTCTTTGGAGCTGGGTTTTGTTTCTTCGCTTTTTCAGAAACAAGAATTACTCCCCGAATATATAAAATTAAGCACATTTTTCAGTGAGTGCATACAGGGAGCGTGAGCATTCACCGTCCTGTGCGGAACGGGGCGATGGGAAAGCGAGGCTCACCAGGCTGATTTTCTACCCAGGGTGAGAAGAGCAGAGTCAGCAGCTGGCTGGTTCCAGATGTTTCCCAACTGTGAATTAATAATTGAGATATTTTCAATATAATGCAATTTTCCTTGAGGACGACCCACTGACAATTAAAGCACTATTACTGGCTCAGGCAGATTCATTTGCGGCTCTTTTATTCCCTCTGAACTGCCAAAACAAGAAAACCTGGATTTTTTTTTTTTTATTTATTTCTTGACCTCAAGCAGTTTTCCCAGGGGAGCTCATTTGGGATGTGAGTGGGTGTCTGCATTTCACACACCTGGAAGGAGCCCCAGATAATTCCCAACTTACCCGGGAAATGGGAACGAATCCCAAACAGGGAGGCCAGCCGGGCAGGAGCTCTGCCCACACAATCGGACATCTTCCAACGTCAAGGAGCAAAAAAAAAATCCCAATGGGCTGGGAACAAGTCCTGGTACCAAGCCAGGACCGAGGTCACAGCACCCTGCTTCAAACCCATGGAGAAACCAGACTTTCTTCATTATTTTAAGGAATTAATACCGCAGCGAAGGCCTGAGTTGCCATGCAGAGGGGAAATGGGAGGTGCGTGCCCTTGCTGCGACACGGAGCGGGCAGCGCTGAAAAGGGAGCGGCAGACAACAGTGATGCTCAACAGGATCTCACGTTTATTACTGAGAAGTGATTAATGGTGAAAAGAAAGGCAACGCCCATTCCTCATTGGCTTAACAAGAAACTGAAGAAACATATTCACTACACATTTTACAATATTTCTTTTTTTTTTTTGTCCAAAATTCATTTTCCTGTAAACAAAGCAAGTTTTTACCACTGTTCTGAGCTTTCAAAATCAAATTAATCCAGACTTAATCTGCAAATCCGTATAATGCACAAGAACAGAACATTTCGTAGGACTCCTAGTACTTGACTTTTGAGTAACAAAGGGTCAGAGAAAAAGGAACCACCTTTAAGACACAACCTCGTGGACAATTTCTGGTCGATTCTTCTTAGGCCAAAACCCCGACTTCCTTGTAGAATTCCTCCTCTTCCAGGTCAGGAGGGGGGGAAGAAAAGAAAAAGTTACTCCACTTTCCATGGTGGATGTTACAACTCGGTGTTTCCAAGTGCAAATGTCAAAACCAGGGGAAGGAGGCGCGAGGGGGTGGAAGGGAGGGAAGCGGCAGGGTTTAAAAATTAGAGAAAAAAAAGGCATATGCCACTTACGGACTTTAAAATCCGAAAAAACATAGTAAAAAGACAAAAAACAAAGCGTATGCTCTGAAATCACAACCAAAGCCAAAAGAAAGGGGACAGTTTTTATCTATACTCTACCTAGAAGGGATTTTTTTTTGTTGTTTTTGTTTTTTTAAGTCCTATGTCTTGTGAAATTCCAATACTTTTTTTTTTTTCTTTTAAACTGCAAGTTTGTAAGAGTCTTTTTGAAGTCAATGAAATTAAGAAAAAAGTCCTAATTCTCTCTGGGATATTTCTGCTCTTTCTTTCTCTCTCTGAAAGATAGCTGGGATGCAATCTCTGCTGCAGTCTCTGTGGGAGGAATGGCCTTTTACTTGACACGGCCTTGGCGTTCCTGCAAAAGAGAAAAAAAAAGAACATGTTAGCCAAGAGCAATTTTATTCCCCGCTTTTCACACATGAGCGTTTCAACACCTGGATCTGCGATGGAGGCCTGTCCCACGCGAGCAAAGTCCGAGAAAAGAGTATTTTTCTTCGCAAAGGAGGTACCGCAACTGCGTACGGCTAACGCGATGATGTATTACGCTGCTAAGGTCTACCAGCACATCACGTTTCCCTTTCACGAGGGCTGCTGATGCCACAGCTCCGCTCCCCTTGCTCACGGCAGGATCCTTCAGCAGAGCTGCGGGCTCTCCCCAGGACAGACATCGCCAGGCTGCTCCAAGGTGGAGGTTTAACAGCGTAAAGATGAACAGGGGGAAAAAAAAAACCAAAAAAAACCAAACCAAAGCCTCAACCACCAAGAAGGACAAACTGAGAAGAATTGGTGGGGGGAAAAAAAAAAACACAAGTGAGTCTAGGTCACTGGTGAAGTTTAGGGCTGTGGTCAGCGCGGGCTGGGAGCAGGGGGTGACAAAGCTTCCCCACTCCTGGGCACGGACTCGCAGCACCCACAGGAGATCTCGGCCTTCGCCAGGCTGGAAACCAGCAGAGCAGAGCTCTGGGCTGGAGAAGACTTGGGCAGATTTGGGAGCAGGACCATGGGAACGCTGCGGGGATCAGGCAGCGCTGAATTGGGGAGAAGACTGAGAAAGCGAAGAACGGAGGCCGGGGCCTCTGGCATCGCTCTGCCTGCATCCAGCTGCTGCCGGAGCAGGGCAGCCTGGCTCCCGCGTGTTGTACAGACCTTGCGGCCTCACCTGAGCTCCTACGTGGGCATCAGAGCAGACTGCAGCTCAAACCTAGGGAGTACTGACCTCTGCCTTGGTCTGTAGGGACTGAAATAGCCCACAGCTACCAGCAGATCACCTCACTGATAACTCTGAAACCTACTGATGGTATCTCACATGAAAACCTGCAAGTTCACAGGGATTTCCCACCCACTGCTGCTACCACGCTCTCGGTCTTCATCCACATCTCTCTCCCAGCACTGAAGTAACACGTTGTCCAGACAAACATTTGCACCAAGCTGAACAGGCAGCGCAGCACCAAATATACCCAGGCATCAAGGGCTACTGTATCCCCTCTTGCACTGAGTACCAGGGGCCAGTCTCTTCTGGGTTTTGTTTGCGTTTAACAGAGAAGCTTTGCACAGAAGTAGGCCTGGACTACCCAAAGGGTTAAGAGATGCTGCCCAGCCCACATACACAAAACCATTTCCTGATCATATGACATCACCCCAAAAATAAAACCTGTCAACAGCTAAAGGGCTCTTGGCTGATGCTCCTCCCTGCCTCTTAGCCACATCTTCTCTGAGTACAGGCGAGTCCCCGTAGTCTCTCGCGTGCAGGGCACTACGGCGTTTTGGCTCTGGCTCCCATGCTCAGTGGCGGAGCGAGTTAATCACCACTTAAGCCAGGCTCAAGAGATACCAAGTCCATCCCACCTCCACAGCAAAGCAACACCTGCAGGAGGTGCCTGCTGGCAGAGTAAGACAACGTGGGTTCTCCCTTGTGTTAACTTAGGTCACTTAAGAGAGAAGGAACATCGTTAGGACTTTGAAACAGAAATCTGGTTGTTTCAACTCAGGATGTTTCCCTGCAAATCTGCCGCTCTGCCCGGGGCTGTGTCCCCCGACATCAGGGCAGCGGCAGAGCTGCCTCCCCGCTTCCCCCTGCCCCATCGTAACTCGGCGATCAGAGGCACCTTCCCTTCCACCGCGGCAGCTCGCTGGCACGGGGAGCACGCAACCTCTGCCAGAAGCGTGCAGGTTGCTCGAAGAAACAATGTCTTCTGCCACCACTGCTAAATCCAGAGAGAGCTCATCTCCGAGAAGCTTCCATCCTGGGCTAACAGCATGTATAGCCATCGATCTTTAGAAACCTTCCCCAAAAGGGAGGCCATGCATCCACCCCAAAACAACACCCCAGGCTTTGGCAGCCCCTCAGCCGCACGCACAGGGTGACCCAAGGAGGCTTCAGCTCTGACTTCACTGCCTGAGCGGGATGGCAAAGCAAGCCCGACGTGATACCGTGCACAGACTGCCTTCTGGGGAGAGGGATTAGACGAAGGCACACATTCTCTTCAAGGATATTTGCCCCACGTAAGTCGACTTAATTCTCCTCTTCTCCAGTAAGTCTGTCTAAATCTGTTGCAGGTGCTATTTGTTGCTAAAAATCACCATTGTACAAGAGCAAAAAAAACAAAACCAAAAACCTACCATGGTGGGAAACAAAGCCAGTCTTGAACGTGAAGTCAAACAAGCGCTGCAGGGAAAGCCACAAATCAAAAGGAAGGTGCCAGGCCCTGCTCCTTCTCCGCTGCCTGGCTCAGCAGCCAGCACGTTACGTTAAACAAGGACAGATGGCAACGCCACGCATTCCTTCAGGAAGAAGCCACAACTGCCTGAGCTAATGCCTCTGTCTTCCCGAATGCAGACATGGGATAAGCCGGCTGCCAGGTTCAATCATCCCCCCTCTCCGTCGGCAGGCAGGGCCAGTGTCCCAGGCCAGGTGCAGACGGTGGCCGAGGGTCCTGCTGAGCACATCGCCCCGTTAGCTGAGCAGATGGGCCCCCCATTAGTCACTTCTCCTCCCTGCTGTGAAGATGAAGCTGCTCCCCATGCCAGCATACGGATAACACAGGGAGCAGGAGACAGG